TTCCTTGTAGATAGCAGATAACAGAGGGGCAGAAAGTCACTGGAGATCCGTTTCTTACTTACGTATGCCTGCATCATCGTGTGAATGTGCGTGTATGCGTCCTTTCCCCTTCCCCTTTTCTGAAGTGTATAAATATCAGAGCCTCTCTTTTGTCTGCAAGGGTGTCTCCCACTAACCCTTGGTGGGGTCCCCCTCCAGTGCATAGTCTCTAATAAACACCGCAGTGAAGCCTTGATTGTTTTGCATTTGGGCCCCGCGTTTTGATTGCACACCACAGTGGAGTCGTGGCGGACCAAGACGCCTCTTCGTGCCTGCCCTGGATTCACACAACCTGCGAAATCCCAACAGAGGTGGAAGAAATAAGGGTTATGCAGAGACCAAGCAAATGCATCCTTTCTGGCTTAAGGATGCCTCTTGGTTCCCCCAACGGGTTACGCTGGTGGCTAAGTTCCCACAAGACCCTGAGCACTAATCGGTACCCAACCCCAGTTTAGTAGGTTCACACCTGGGCTTGCTGCTCACGTGGCTGCCCAGCCCTCTGGCCTCAGGAAGAGGCAGGTCTTTCTTCCAGAAAAGCTGCCACAAGACTGGGAGGTCCCCTCGGGGTGGGAGAGGCCGTGTGGACCAGTTTGCCAAGGAGGAAGCATTTTGCGGGAACAGCGTTACTTCATGTGAGACAATCATGGTGGGGCAGGACTGGGAGAAGTCAAGAAGGCGGGGAGAGCAGAGGTTTTGCAAAGAACCCTGTTAAGCTCACAAGCTTGCATGGCGTAAAATTCCCCCCTTAACAATCTCACCGTTCCTTGTCTCACCTTGCTCTGTTCCTCTCTTACAGGCAGATCCCCAGGATGAGACATCCACCCGGACTTTGAGTGTGCAAACTGTCAAAAAACTGTTCAGCGTGTACTCGAGTTTCCTCCGTGGCAGGGTCAATTTATTCATTGCCAGTGCGTGCCAGGGGAACGGCAGGTGACAGGGGGCGGGCTGCTCCCAGGCCACTCTGCGTGCCTCCCCCACGGCGGAGGGAATGCCCCTCAGAGGCCAGTTGATGAGTGCCCGCTTGCTTTATCGGCTGCTTGAAAGACACACACGCACACACACCCAGCACACGGCTCGGTCTGTGCAGATGGCAATTCTCTGTTCCACGCTAGTCCCGCTCTTGCTGGATTGGGCAGCCAAGAAGCCACTGAAAGTCACTTCTGCACACTTCTAGGTGTCACCTGACCCTGGGTCACAACGCCCCATCTTGGCCAGCCCTGCGCCGTGCAGGAGCAGAGGGGCCGGGCCAGCCTCGGAGGGCACTTCTTCTCCAGGGAGACGGTGGTGAGGGGAGGCTGCTCTGCTCCAGGGGGCCAGGCCAAGAAGGAAGGAGTGGGGGGCTCTCTCCCCAAAAGCCCACTTTTGCCAGCAGCGTCCAAGTAAAGAGGAAGAAGCCGGTGCCGAGATATTGGATTTCCCCAAAGCAGTTGCCCCGTGGGCGGCGTCAGCGGATGGGCTACGGATGTGCTTGTGTTGACCCTCAAAATCTGCACCCCCCCAGTCAGCGGCTCAAGCAGCTGAGATTCCTCCCCGACGTCGGAGATGCTCACAGATGTGAGTGAGGATCCAGGGCCAATTTCTGAGAATTCCCAACTTCCCCAAATGGAAAAAAAGAATTGGCTGGGGAAACGTTTGGTTCGGGGAGGGGCCCCGCTTGTTACCTAGATCTGCACAAAGTTAGGGGAAGCTACGGGGGCGTTTTCGCCTTCCTTTGAAAGTGGGTGTGTGTCTGGGAGCGGGGCATCTTCTGCCAGCGGAAGGGTGGAAGCCACCCTTTCAAGCCAAACTCCTTGCACACTTTCACACGTGGAGGCAGCCTTGACCTGTGTGGGACCTACTAATGTGTAAGCATGTGCCCGGTGAGGAGAACTGAACGGGCCAGCTGGGAATCAAGGTCACGGGAGACGTGGCATTACAGCCACGCCTGGCAGATGTCGGTCAAATCACGGCTGACTTGGGAAACTCAGCATCGAAGGGTTTTAACTTAAAATCCTGTGTTTTAAATGTTGAACGTTTATTGTCAGAATGCTTCTTGAACCAGTGTGAGATAAATGCATTTCAAAAAGATGTAACCCCCTCTCCTTTCTACCTGCAAGATGTGAAAAAGGGGACACCCAAATGAGTGATTGACAGCTGCCAGGCGGTGCATCGAGTTGGCTGACTCTGGCGTGGTGAACTTAAAGAGCCTCCCGTGTCAGATTTGCTGTATACAAGTGTATAGTTTTGCTCTAAGGGACTTCTCGAGAGTTTATATTTGATGCTAAGTTAAACGTGTACAGTTTTCTGGATATTTATCATGTGTACTTCAAGAGAGCAGCTGGTTTGTAAAGTGCTTCCTGGAAAGGATTCCTTACGGATGGGACGGGGGGCGTCTGGTGGATCTCGGTTATCTTGATTAAAGGTTGCTGTGCTTTCCTGAACAATCGAACTATTGCGACGTTTGCCTTTCTGAGAGAGAAAAGACCTGGCAGGGAGGAGCCAGCTGCCTGGAAAAACGGGGAGTCAGCTGGGGATATGGAAGAGGCACTCTGCACATCCCCAGAGACAGGGTTGCCTCTTTGTTTGGCTAACTCAGTGTTTCTCAACCTCAGCGACTTGAAGATGGGTGGACTTCAACTCCCAGAATTCCCCAGCCAGCTGGGAGTTGAAGTCCACCCATCTTCAAGTCGCTGAGGTTGAGAAACACTGGGATTCAGTGATTTCTTAAGCAGTATTTTCCTGATGGTGAATAGCCCTTTGTTGCCACACGCATGCCGTCAGCCTTGCCTTTCCCACCCAGCCTGGAAGGTCACCCTCCCTTGCAAGGAAAACCATCCAGACAGGCCTTGCCACCCCATCGCGGGCCCACCTCGCTGCCAAGCTAAGCAGAAACAGCCACCGCAGCCCAGGCGGGCAGGATTCGGAGCTGGGCTCTCTGGAATATCCCAGGCAGAGGGAAGGAGGGACCGGTGGGGCTCCGGGGCAGCCCCTGGGCAGGGCACCGGGTGGGGGAAGCCAGTCACCGCCAGGCTTCTCCCATGGCCCGTTTGGGGTAGCAATGGAGGTGGAGGGAGACTGGAAATATCTCGAGAAGATGCGGAAAATGAGCAGTCGTTTTCTCAACCTTCCTTTCCGTACGGGGGCTTACAAGACCCCCAACTGCCCGCGAGCGTAGCCAGGGATGTTGGACGATGTCCCCCATCTTTCCAATGGGTGCAAGCGGGGGTGCCAGTTCCAGGCTGACTTCCTGGCTTTTAAAAGCCATTTGGAAGGACCGGGCACGGCTGATGTTTTGCCCCCATCTCCAAAATTGAGCGTTTGGAAAAGCCAGGAAGGGTCTCGGGCACAAACAGCTGCCTGGGGGCATCAACAGGAAAGAGCTGCTGCATCTCCCCAGCCCCAAGGAGATGAACCCGGCCCCAGCCCCCGCTTGAAAACGTCCCCCCAAATGGGTTCTGCTCGTAGCCCCAAAGTCCCAGCGCCCACCAGGGGGCAGCAAACAGTTGGCACAGGGCCTCTCTTTGGGGCCAGCAGAGCTGGGCAGGGCCTGTGCCGACTGAGATGCCAGCGCTGCCTGCCCTGCGCCCCCTTGGCTCCCCCGCCCCCCCTTCCTTCCTCCTGGGCGAACTCAGCCCTCGCATTTTTCTGGACAAAGAGGGAGGTGGTGGGATAAAGCAGGGGTCCTGCTGGATCGGTCCTCTTGGGGTTGGGTGACAGCCCCCATCTTCCCCAGCCGTGCGGGGGTGATGGGATTGCCGATCCCTTCATCTGGAAGGCACGAGACCAGGGAACGCTGCCCTGCGTCACGGCTGGCCAGGAGCGGCCATGAAGTGCCAGGCTCCCAGAGGTTCAGCACATCCAGGGCCGTACGAGCCACCAACCCGTGTGGCGACTTCCCTCTCTGGAGGCTGCGTTAGGCGACTTCCCTTCGTCCATCAGCCCAGGACGGGGCAAACCTGGGTTCCTTCTCCTTGAAACCCCCTCCCCAAACTCCCCCTTCCTCTTAAGGAAACCCCACAGGAGGATCCAGAGCCACACGGGCCAAATGCCCTCAGTGCTCCTGCAGGCCGGTCAAGAGAGGTGCCCCCCCTCAACCCAGTGCCTGCAAGGTGGGTTGGCTGACAAAGCCCATGCTCCCCAACTGGCAGGAAGGCTGCTGTGGCAGCTGGGTTCTCGGGGACGCGCCTTGCCCGTCTGGGGACTCCACCACTGAAGCCCACAGAAAGCAAACGTTGCAAGCCCCGTCAAGGCTCATGGGGCATGGAAATGGGGGGGGCAGGAAATGTTTACACACCACACCAGCCTCACCTCGTTCAATGTGACCCTCCTGGGGCGTCTGATCCCCCCCCAAGGGACGGCACTGGGGACTCCTTTGGCTTCATCAGTGACCCGTGGGGAGGAAGGGGTGGGGAGGGGGTCTCCCTCTTTAGACCCCCACCTGCCTGGGGCCGTGGAGGGTGCAGCTCTTCTTCCATGCAATGCAGAGCGTCTGACACC